ACACACACGCACACACGCACACACGCACACACGCACACACGCACACACGCACACACGCACACACGCACACACGCACACACGCACACACGCACACACGCACACGCACACGCACACGCACACGCACATGCGCACGCACGCACGCACGCACGCACGCACGCGCGCACACGCACACACACCCACACACCCACCCACCCACGCACGCACGCACGCACGCATGCACACACCCACCCGCCCACCCACCCACACACACACACACCCGCGCACACACACACCCGCGCGCACACACACGCACGCACGCACGCACGCACACACCACGACTGGCCGCTTCTTCGCGTCGCCCAGGCTGTGACTGCTCCCTCATGTGCTGGGGCTGCCCCTGCGGCTGTCAAGAGACGAAGTTCGACGTCTACGATGGGGCGCTTTGGCAGATGGAACGGGGTTTCTGGAGGGTTCAGGCGGTGAACAGAGGATTCTACCAAGGGTTTGGCTCCCTTCAGGCTCTTCTGTAGGTGACTTGTTGGGACGAACCTCCGTTTGTGATTCCGCAGTTTACCTTCGAACATTCTGGACCTCGATGTGGCTGGCAAAAGGACACCGGGCCTTTTGGTCAAGTAATGGCACATCCCTCACGTTTGAGAACCAAACAACATCACCATCAACAGATACAGTAGAACAAATACGACAAGAAGCACGCACACGAAAGCCTTTGGTCAGGGACACGTTTGATCTTTGCTTTGGTGTTCGAAGAAAAAGCCAGGTTGCCAACCACCAGCACGCTATAAAGCCCTTGCCAGCAAGCCTTTTGACTGAAGGGGCCTGGCTTTAGGTGAGCTTTGGGCCGAAATACGACGAAGATGCGCTTGGAGCTTGGAGACTTCGAACGTTGACCAACATGTCCGCCAGCATTTGCCATGTTTGTTGAAGTCCCTTGTGACATGATGGCCACTTTTGATGGGAAGGGGAGGAGTTGCTCATTGTCTTACGGGGTAAACCATATGATCCACAGAAGGGTAATTACGCCAGGCATAGGAGGTGTTGTTCTTTCACTGGGTTTTCGGAAAAACAAAAGAGGACCAGTTCTGGGCGGGGCATGCCAACTGCAATATGAGGTTGACCTCAAGACGACCAAACCGTGACCCCTTGAGGTACGGCCCTCTCGGAAGCCTCAGGTCGAGGGAATGCCGCCAGCTTAGACGACTGCCTCAAGGTACCAGCCCCGAGTCCGCTGGTGTACCCCACGAAACATGGAAGTATCATGGTGTTTTTGTTGCTCCAAAAGACTCTGCGCCAGGGTCGACTTGTTGGTCAGGGAATCATCCGTTGGGCAGGAGCCCTGGGATATTTCTCTCTTTCAGGAGGCCGGAATGTTTTTCCTTTTTCTTGGGGTTCCTCACCGCTTGGGAACGAAGCCTGGAATCTTCCGTATCTCGGGGGTTCCAAGTCCATCCCAGGCCCCCGCAAGTGACGCATCTGAGGACCAAGTGGTGGGCCACATCCGGCGGCAGTTCAACACTGCCCAGGCCCTTGGCCGGATCACCGGCATCAACGCCGACTCGGACCAGTTCCATGTAGACTTTAAGGACTGCACGACAAGAAACTGCCCGCGATCCTGTGATTTCAACTAGTCCCTGGTGTTTTTGGTCTTCAAACTTTTGGGGTTGGAACAGTTTCGTGGAAAACAACAAGTTTGGGGACTTCGTTTGGCCAATCCGCTCGGGAAGTGGGATTCGTACTTGTAGGTGGTGTAGTTCGTAAAATGGGGTTTCATCCATCCCAACTGCAGGATTGTGTCCATAGACAGTTTACACCTGGAGTCATTACTGAAATTGGGTTCTTAAGTACTCCCCCAACCCGCCCAACCCCGTTCTAACGATTTACACCAATATGGTAATCAATCAAGCGGCATTTCTCAAGTAACATACGGGACTTCTCCAAACGGTGGGTGACCAGCCTTTCTTTTTTTGACGCATCCACCAGAGGCTTCAAGCAACTTCAGCCCATGAGGATGTAGCTTTGAAATTTAGGCGTTGACGACAAGCTGGAAGATTTGGGATGGAAGAGGCTGGTAGATTCAAGGACCTCTCCAAATGAGGGGCTGGCAATACTCTCGGCCAGTGCAGTATGTCAAATGATCAAGTATAGATTGGCTCCCACTGGTATCGCAGTGGTTGAAAAGTCGCTCGTTCCCACACTGGGATTGCTCGACCTGTTCCAGCAAAAAGGGGGAAACCACTCGTAGCCTCAATGGCTTTACCATGCAGGCTCTTTTTCTTATGGAAAAATGGCCGTGGTTGTCAAAACCAATGAGATCTCATTTTGGTTGGTAGGTGAATTCACCAACCATTTTAGTCTATTTTAGTGGGGATTGGGATGTTCACTGCGGGTACGATTTGCATTTTGACCCATGGCAAAATCACGCATCTCTCTGGGTGCTTGATTCAACTGTTTCCGATGTATGATGAAGCTCACGGGATTGCAAGCTCCAGAGTGGTGTTGTTTTGCCCAATGGAGAAGTCTTACAAGAAGCTCGGGGATTGTAAGTCTATGATGAACGTTGAAACTTGACATGATAAAACAATAAGGTTTGAGAGTACGATACTTATGATCACTAGAAAAGTCCTACCATAGTACGATGAATGGTTTTTGCAGTATTATTTTTCAAAACTCTCATGTAATATCTGACTGATGTGTTGAAGACAAAACCCAGATATACTTCGAGAACACTCTATGTATTGATTTTCACGAAAGTAGATGGCACGACCTCCCCACCTAGCTGTCATCGTGTTTCAGCATGGTGTAACACGAGTCTCCACTTTACACCTGCTTAGCCACGTTGATAGTCTTGGCCATGTAAGAAGTTAAGTCAATGTTATAATAGAGCATGGCACATTGCTCCTCAGCAGCGGCTTGGGGGACCACCATAGAAGCCTTACATGAAGGTTCTAGTGCATGTAGTTCTGGCGAGCGCTCGAGGTCCTATGAGGACGACCCCGTGTCAATGTGTGTGCCTAGGTCCCCAGGTAGTGCCCTTTGACCAACTTTTTTGGGGGAGGGTTCCCCTACTAAAATAGACTACAGCAAAAGGGGTACCCTTATTCTAACCTCTTTACTGGAGGACCTAGGTTGTCAAACCACCCCGCTTGGGGTGGCTGGGTATTAGCCTCTGAAGGGGGTAGAAGACATCCACCAGACATTGCAAGGGTTTTTTGTTCTTGGAAATTTGACCATTGCCCACATAAAGAATGTTCACCATGGAACATGCGGCTGTGTTTGAAAGCGAGGAAACCTGATTGACTCATTTCGATGCTTGATGGCAAACGCTCGCAACACTGGATGATTGACGTACATCCTCATGTTTTTTCTTGTCCATAAAAGGGTACCCAATTAAAGTTCTTACCCACGTTAAGTGTGACTTTTGTAAGGGGACCCCTCCCCCCAAAAACAGAAAAATAACAATGGAAAACAAGGTGGTTTCCCTGTTGGTTGTCCTTTAATACACCAACAGTAAGGGCACCCTGGAAAAGAGGCGCACCCATATATGTGTGTGTGTGTGTGGGCGCATGCGTGTTGTATGCGCCATCAGCCGCCCTGAGGAGATACAGAGCCCAGAGTGGCAACTTGGCAGGAGCGAGTTTGATATGGATCTCCGATGCAGCAAGCACGTGTTGGAGATCATCCTCATACATATATATATATATACACACGCATATACAAATATCATGCGTGTCTATGTACATCACTTATATACGTAGATGTGTTGTATGGCCTCCACACATGTTGTAGGTTCATTTGGCGAGCCCAGCTAAGCTGCTCACAGCATTCCTAAACATTTGTCATAGAAACTTGCGGGATCCATCTCCCACGAGGAGTTCCCTTGAACCAGAATGGGTTCTGGACACCTTGGTGCTGAGGAAGGCGGCCCTGATTGCCATGGCTCTCTTCCTCGAGTACTGCTACTTTGTGAAAGGCGGGAAAACTGCACGGCAAGAAAGCGCTCTGGGACGCGCGGTCCAAGTCGAGCCCTGGCTTGAAGCAATGCGAACGGTGAGTGGCGGCCTCCCCTAAGATGTTTGGTTGCTTTTGGCTTCCCTTCAAGAAACTGGTCCTTCCGCCTTTCCAATTTTAGGAGCACAGCACGTGAGGTATGTGAGAATGGCCATCAATCTGTTTCAGTCGATTTGGGCTCGTGGGATGTGGAACCCCTAAAATGGGGCCGGAAGTGTGGTACGTCCGGAAGGGTAGCCTTGAAGCATGAGCACCAATCTGTAGCGAGCTGGATTCGAGCTTGCTAGAGCCTGCTAATGCTTGCTAACTGGTCCGATTGGCTCGTAGCCCGGCGCGACACCTGAACTTTGCTGTCTGCTTTTACCCAGCATTCTCCTGGGATTGAAGAGCATTTGCGAAGCACCTCGCGCTCGGTTTTTGTTCGGCTTGCTGCTTGCCATTGCTGCTGCTACAGTTGCCGGAGTCCTTTCAGGTTGGTTCAAAGCGAAACCCAAGGAGCACAAATGAACCCCACACACAGCAGTGAAGCTCCCCATGTTGAGATGCTCACATACCCATTTGCCTCCCACTCAGATAAATCGCTTTCGCTCCGGTCCCGAGGAGCGCAGGTGGGACGATTGAGCGGATGCACCGGGATTGGCTGCGAGCGTCTCTAGATAAAGAAAGGTTTCATTTTTGCTTTGCGTGTTTCTTGAGCGGTTACTGCTCTATGCAGCCGCAGCATGTTTGGGAAACTGCATTTCGCGGATGTTGCGAAAAGCTCGGCAGCCAAAACATAATCAGTCTCAGCGTTTCAGGCACGCACCTGTCATGGCCGCTTGGGGGGTGCTTGGCTCCCCAGTTGCGCTTTCCATCCCTGCACTCAGTTGTTCAGTCGTACCATTTGTTCTCGCCCTTTTTTTTTTGGGTGGCTGCCCCACCAAACATGGCCTTCCCCAAAAAGGGTTTTCCCTTTTTTTTTGCCAGGGTCGCTGAACAACTGAGCGCAAATCCAGGCCTAGGAGCTGTGCTTCGGTCTGGGCTTTGGCGAAAGCGAGCGGCGCGAAGGGAAGGCGCTGTGAAGCGTTCGCTTATTGGCCAAAGCAAGTGCGGCGCTCCCGGCCGTTGGTTGTTCTTTGTTTCCCTCTTTGTCTGCTTGGTTTGTTGTTTGCTTGTCTATTCGCTTGCCTGTCTCTCCCAGTCTCGCCCGCCTTTGCAGGTTTGTTGTGTTGCTTGTTTGCTTGCTTGTTCACTTGCTTGCTGTTTGTTTTTCTGTCTCTTTTTCTCTCTCTCTCTCTCTTTCTCTGTACGCCTGTCCGGCCTTTTGTTTGTTTGCTTGGTTGCTTGTTTGCTTGCGTGCTTGCTTGCTCAGTTGCTTGATCGTTGTGTTCATTTGTATGCTTGTATGTTTGATTTTATTTGTTTAATTGTTTGTTTCTTTGTTTGTTTGCTTGTTTGCTGGTTCGTTGGTTTGTCTGTCTTGTGTTGGTTAGTTTGTTTTGTTTGGTTGGTTGGTTCGTTGTTTGCCTGTCTTGTCTGTCTTGTCTGTCTTGTCCGTCTTGTCTGTCTTGTCCGTCTTGTCCGCCTTGTCTGTCTTGTCTGTCTTGTCTGTTTTGTCTGTCTTGTCTGTCTTGTCAGTCTTGTCTGTCTTGTTTGTGTTGTCTGTCTTGTCTGTCTTTTCTGTTTTGTTTGTCTTGTCTGTCTTGTCTGTCTTGTCTGTCTTGTCCGACTTGTCTGACTTGTCTGACTTGTCTGTCTTGTTTGTCTTTGTCTGTGTGTCTTCCTGCCTGCCTGCCTGCCTGCCTGCCTGCCTGCCTGCCTGCCTGCCTGCCTGCCTGCCTGCCTGCCTGCCTGCCTGCCTGCCTGCCTGCCTGCCTGCCTGCCTGCCTGCCTGCCTGCCTGCCTGCCTGCCTGCCTGCCTGCCTGCCTGCCTGCCTGCCTGCCTGCCTGCCTGCCTGCCTGCCTGCCTCTCTGCCTATCTGCCTATCTGCCTATCTGCCTATCTGCCTGCCAGTCTGTCTCTCTGCCTATCTGCCTGCCTGCCTGCCTGCCTGCCTGCCTGCCTGCTTGTTTGTTTGTTTGTTTGTTTGTTTGTTTGTTTGTTTGTGTTTCTTTTGTGTGTCTGTTCGTTTGTGTTTGCGTGTTCGTTGGTTTGTGTTTTCTCTTGTTTGTTTGTACGTTTGCTTATGCGTGTCTGTGTGTTTCGTGCGTCTGTGCCTGTGCCTGCTACTATCATGTTGTGACTTTATGTGTTCTACTACGGTTTTGTGCTTGGGATCTGGAGCGGCCTAGGGAGATGCTAAACGTAGCGTTCAGATGCACTTGTGACCATACTTGGGCTTATGTGTTTTGGGGTAGCCTAGTTGCAAGAACGAACAACCTGTTGTGGGATTCTCGGCAAGCAAGTCTCTTTTGCAGGATACTTCCGCCATGGACAACCCCTCAACTCCATCATTCCGTCCAAAACGAGACGAGAGACATAGACAACGAGCCCACAGTTGCCAAGGCGGTGATGCAACAAGGCAGGATTGTTTCCTTCAGTAGTGATGATTTGGAAAACCCTCTCATGACGAATCAGACAACCCTTAGTAGTAGGGGTGGTCATCAAGCTTGGATTCAGCAAAAACCATTCAATCAACGAGGCGTGGGAGGATCACAGCACACCGGAGCGGATAGAACGAGGAGACGAGATGGAACTGATAACATGATCCAGATGTGGTTAAAGGCAATGTGCTGGGTGTCAATAACGGGGCCAGAAGGCAAACAGTATTGTTTGAAGCGATCCTTAGCGTTTAAACACACTCACAATAACGTAAGAGTTTGTCCAATGATGTTTGCGTGCTCAAGACGGCGCCAGAAGGCCACAAGGGGTGCACGATGGTGCACGAGCGTAGCCTTTTCGAATGCGTGCTCTCATTCTGTTGAGCTTACAAAATGCGAGGGCAACAGTCAGCCATGGAGTTGTTAGAAGCCAAACGGAAGCCGCCCAGGGTGTTGCGCCCATAGGCTGCGTGGCACGCTGTCGAAACCAAATCAGCAAACTGTTCCAGTTTGCCGGGATTTGTTTATCTTGGTGGCGCGATAGGCAGGGAATGAGGGATGACCCCATATAAACCATCCCTTGTGGTTTCCTTTGAGGGGACCCCTGGGTTCGTTCCCACAATCCCTACTGAGCACCAGCAAGTTATGGTCTTGGCCATATGATTAAAAAGAGTCAACCCGGTTCGAGGTTTCACGTTGACCAAGGTACCGTTTTGTTACGGTTCCCGCTTAGTTTGCGGATTCGAGGGATATTGGCTTTGATTGTTTTCTATCCTGGTCCTTGTTCTAAATTATGTTACATATCTTACGGTTCAAGGGATATGGACCAGAATCACGTGCCTTTCTGGTTGGAAGGCAAAAGTTGAGGTAGTAATTGGTTTCCTGTGGTTTCAAGGCTCATCTTCTCAGACATGCCCACGGTGCTTGTGGAGCCGAATTTTGTTACTTACGGCAGCCCGGCACAAGTGTCGTGAGGGTTGAATTGCCGCAGAGGCAAGTCAATTGTAAAGGTCTGTGTGTGTGTGTGTGCGAGTGTTTGTGCAAAAGTGTGAGTGTGTGTGTGTGAAAGTAGTGTGCGAACGTGTGCTTGAGCAATTTCATGCTGTGTTGCTGAATCGCATCCGATCTCGGAAGCCATTGGTTGCCCAACGAAATCGTCACCCAACGTATTTCACACATGGAGCCACAATCACAAGAGGATCCTCACAAGGCGACTCCCCTGCCATTTTTTGTGTTTTAAATTCAGGGGTGCACATGTCCGTTTTCAGAAGGAGTCTGACTGTGAAGGACCTCCATGGAAGGTTTCCATGTAAATCGGACCACCTTTCAGGGAGGGGCGCTTTCGTGTTTGATCTTGTGTTGCCCGCGTTCGAGACTTTATCGCCATGGTGGGTGAGGAAGCCTCTTATACTGTTCAGCCCAACTACGAGATGGCTTGAAGGGAGAACCTGAGTTGTTTCCCTGTTTCCTGCACCATGCTGAAGCTGTTTGGCGGCTCGCAGGCTTACATTTGGTTGGCCTTCTTAGTGGGAAGAGGAAGGAAGCTGAACCTTTGTGTTACAGCACGTAAACCTCGATGGCCCATTTGCAAGGCGAAACATTTCTGAGGCGAAACAAGCGCAACGTGTGGCAATGTATACCAGCGCCCCAAGACCACTGGCTGGGCACTGGGCATTGGTTTTCATCGAGGCCATTCAGCCCTTTGAAGTCTGCGGGGAAACCATAGGAACCTTCAACCCGCGAAATCTCAAGGGAAACCACAGGCACCCTCACACAGGTGGAATCTATCAAGGGGCTTGGCCAACTTGCAGGAAAACCATAAAAGGTGGTTCTCCTCCCAGAAAAGGAGACACAACACTAAAATGAAAATAAGTAAAAAAGGCACGTCAAAAAGTGTGGGTTGCCCTTCAGAACCAAGCAAAAGGTGGTTCCCTCCCCCCAAACAAAAATAAGCAACCAAAAGGAAACCAATATTTTTGTTGGGGGTCCCCAAAAAACTGACACACCCATGCGTTTTGGTTCGCCCTCCGTAGAGGACGGGGGGGGGGGGGGAGGTGCCTTGTTTTGAGCGTCCGCGGGACGTACTTCTCGCGCTCCAAGGGGCCGCCCTGAGCGCCCTGTCGCGGGGCGAGAAGTGGCGAGAGGCGCTGGAGCTGTTCACAGTGCTGCCGCAGAGAGGCGCGGACGGAACGGTGAGGTTCAGTTGCCATTGAAACCAGGGGATATAACCACCATGGTTTACCTAAGGATCATCATCCAAATTGAGGTCAACCATTCTTTTCATGGGGGTTGAACCCGAATGTGTGTCCTTTTTTTGAGGACCCCTCGAAGAACAAATGGAGGGTTTCCTCTGGGTTTTGTCATAGAAGGATCTCTGTGCGGTTTTTGAGGACCCCCCGAAAAAGAATGGTGGCTTTCCTGTTGGTTTCTGTTCAATTCCGAAAAAAAGGTGCCCTAAAGAAAGACCCCACCTAAGAAAGGTGGTTTTCCTGTTGGTGTTCATTCGAGTCAGAAAAAAGAAAAACAAGTGTATCCGAAAGACACCAAAGAAGGGGGGTATCCCACACAAAGACACACCCACACAAAGCTGCCATAGAAGGATCTCTACAGGGAGAACTGATTTGCCAATTTTATTGGCAAAAGCCCATCAAATCTTGGTTTCCCAATTTGGTCCTTGGTTTGAAACCTCACCTAGTCGGCTAGAAAGTGAGCCTCCTTTAGGTGGGACCCGTGTTTACAAGGGAAGTCAAGGAATATGGAACTAAATGTACATCATTTGACCTAAGGTTCGCTATAGTTTTGGTTCTGTCTTTTCGTTGGTTAGTTTTCAGGGAAACCAAGAGGAAAACCGATGCCATTTTCGTGTTCCCCCTAAAAAGGAATCATATGGACCAGAACATGGACTATCGCAAAAACATAGCTTTTTTGTGATTTGGCGTTGGATCATGACTCTAAGCTGACTTGTCTACCACCAGGGTTTGAGAGTACTAAAAAACCTAGTTTTATCACTATCAGGGGCATCTCTCAACACAGGGAACTGATCACCCAAGAAAAGTTCCACCGCTTAAAGGACCATCATGTTGGATGTTAAGGATCGCTGAAAATGGACCTCAACTGAACAACTTGAGTGTTAGTTGAGGGCAACGGCTGAGGTTGTTGTCAGACTTCGGGCATTTTTACTGTTCGCGGCGCGCTTTTTGCCTCTTTGCCTGCCTGCCTGCCAGCAAGCCTGTCTGTCTGTCTGTCCGCCTATCTGTCTACAGTACAAATGGCATGTTTGGAGGACTGCCTTCTTGGAAAGAGAGAAACTCGGTTCGACCTCTGATGAACAGTCCCTTCCCCAAGTTAAATTGGGGCATGCCGTTTTGAGACATTTGGGCAATTTATCAATCCCCTCGAATCATGGGTTAACATGTCCAATCTTGGCAGCCTGCGATTTCTTTCGCAAAGGAACGCGGAAAGTAAGACAAATTGAGGGAGAGGTAGAGGGTTTATTCCAGGGGTACCTTCCCCATTCTTTCCGGGGATGCTTCTTTCCAGGACCGCAAACCCAGGTTGAACGAACGCTTTCTCCTGGGTTTTTGAAGGGAAGGATGGTTGAAAGCCTTGAGACGTGAGCTTGGCTTCGCTGCCCGGTTTCGCCTCACGCCTCGCCGGTTTCGCCCATTGCATCGCCACGGTCACGTCCAGGAGTCGAGAGCGGCATCATTAGCTTGGGCCTCAGCGGGTTGGTCGCCCCAGGTGAGTCCTATGTCAATGAGCCTGGCTTCAAGGGATTGAAGACATAAATCCTGATGGCCAGCAAAGAGTCTCCTATTGCAAAAACAACAACCGCACAGATATGTCCATGTTTCCCACGTTTTTGGCTGGCTCAAACATCACAGTTTGGTTGTCTCTTGAGCTTCCCCGTGCAGTGGGGGGCAATTTTGGGAGTGTGACGACACGGGTCCCATGTTTTGGGGAGAGATCTTCGTGTGGTTTCCCTTGACCCTTGGTTTCGGCGGACTGAAGCTTCCCTTTGGAAGGCCCAAACATTCGCGCGAAGATCTCGCGCTTTTTTGTCTTTGTGGAACAAGAAGCACGCCACGGGTGGGGAAGGGAGATCAGAAGAAATGTGGGCTGGAGCCAGCCCAGCGCGCGAAGATCGCGCGCTTTCCGAGTGAGACTTTGCGAGACTCGATCAGCTGAGGTGTCACAGCCACCCTCACGGCCTGTGGCCGAGCAGCGTGCTGGCAGGAGGTGCCACAAAGCGCCGCTTCGAGGGTACCTTGTTTTAAGGTTGCTGTAGTGGGGAGCCAAATCTTCACTCTTCTTGGCAAATTTGGCAAGCTGCTTGGTTCTTCTTTGTTTTTTGTTGGGTTCTGTTCATTTCTAGTAGGGGGCCGCAACAGTCACGAGCATCTTGCCCCAAAGGGCATGTTGGCTGTTCTGCAGGCGCCGCTGATTCAAGTGGTCATGCGCCTGGATCATCACCGTTTTGGGTGTCCCCAGTGCCCAGTGCAGGCGCTGGAATTGCTCTCCTGGGCGCGGCAGGAACATCTGCAGCCCACGGTGATCTGCTCCGCGGCGGCTTTAATTTCTTTCTGGGCGAAGGGAACCCGGGAGAAGTTGGAAGTCCGCTAGGTTCCGAGTGTCCCATGTTAGGAACACCAACAGATCACTTTTGGGGAACCACCTTTCATCCAGGTGTCCGAACAGGAGGGCCCGAAAAGCAAGCCAAAGGAACGAAGCCAGACACAATCCCATCCATTCGCGGTCCGGCCAGCCTCGATATGCTTAGTTCGGCTTACATTCCTCAGGTTCGGCCAGGCAGATCGGAAGATCAGCTAGGAATCCAACATCTCCAACTTGTCCTCGCGTGGTTGTCCATGGCCTTGCTCAAGTCAAACCGTCAAGCGAAGACAATCAGAGAACTGGGATCTGAGGTGTCAAGTCACGGGCAACTCTTCTTCGGACCTCCGATTGTAGCAGTGAAACTGCGAACCTTCTCAGAGAATGGAATGACAACTCTGACCCCATTGCGGAGGTTAAAATTGGGGCCACTTTCTGTGATACCTCTGGCAACCAGTCAGCTATCTCAGGCGTATGGCCACAGGTCCCTCAAGCTTGCCTTTTTTGGACCCCCCACAAAAAAGAGGAACCACAGGCACTGGGCATGTGTCCAAAAGACGCAGGCGCCCAAAAATGGATTGCGGCGTTCCAAATGTTTCTGACGTCCCAAGGTTTCCCGAACCCACCTCAAGAAAGGCTAGCCCACCACAGACACAGACGCAGACATTGGTTGCTGCGGTGCTGTTGCTTTTTGGCCAACCCCAAACTCCCTCAAGGTCGCGCACGTGCTCAGAGATGCGGATTCGTTGGTTCAAGAAAGGCTCGCCTTCGCCTCGAGTCACCCCAGAAGCCCGGCCCAGAGGCTACAGCTCTGCGCTGAGCGCCTTGGAGCGCGGCAACCGCTGGGACTGTGCCTTGGGCCGCTGGGCACGCGGCAAGCCGAAGTCTGCCTGGACCGGACCTCTGCAACGGGGGGGGGGGTTGCTTTGGTTGCGATTGACGCTCTATGTCAAGCGACTATCAGAGTCATGTTCCCGGGAACTGCTGTACTATGTAAACAGGCATGGACTTTCTCACCCAGCATCTGGCGGCCTTTAACCCTGGCGCTCTTTGCACAGAAGCGCATGGACCGTACATGTGCAGACAGAGGGGTCCAATTAGGTTGGTGCACCCAAGGGATGTCAAGGAAGACGTTGCCGGCCATATTTGCTTTGGGGGGGAGCCAAGGAACCAGGA